TACTTATATAGTATGCCTGCATTATATTACATGGTTCATTTTGCTTAAGGAAAAATGCATTATCTGGTGTGAACAATGATTATCATAAACTAAGCAAACCATGCACATTTTATATGCAAAAAGTATTCTAATTTAGAGACTTAAAACTAAATAATATTTTTACTATCTAAATTTGCAATGTTTTCTCTTGTAATTTTTTTTGCATTATTTTTCACAGCTTTTATGGATGAGGACAAAAGATGAACACTATTTAAATTATTAGAATATGAATGATTATATTAATTATTATTTCTATCCATGTACCATTTTAAAGAATGTTAAATGATATTATGTACAGAAAATATGACATTGTTTTAGCTGATAATAGCATGTTTTCCCCTCATACTTGTTTTAAAAGAAATTATTGGTACTTCAATCATTTTGTTTTTGACTCTTACTAGAAAGCCTAAATCATGTATTATTTCATTAATTTGTAATATTCATCTACTTCATGAAAATATATCTGTTTAATGATTTATTTTATTTTCTTTAATTTTTCTAGAAAATTGCAATTTCATAATATTCATTTTAATGCATTTGTTAACCAATGATATTTTTTTCATTCAAAATTCATCTCTGACTTTCTAGTTCATAATGATAAATAGGTCTATATACACTTAAACCCAGTTTCTACAGAATCAATGGTGAAATTAATGGCAAAGTAAAATATTTTGACCAAAGAATGAATTAGAATAAGAAATAAATTAGGTTCATTCTAGAAAGATAAAGAACGCTGACAGAGAGACATGGACCACTGAGCAGAAATGAGTACAATCAAGACACTATGACAGATGTTTATTCCCCTCTAATGGCACTTTTTTATGATATAAAGAGCCAGTTTACATATTCAATGCTTGGATGCTGGAATATATAAGTACAATTGATTTTTAATTGTTTTTGATTTGGCTGAATTTTCTTCATACTATTCTATTTGATGTTGTTTATCTTTCCCTACATATGGGGTCATCATTTTCTAAGATATGTGCTTTATTTTCTATTTCATATACTTGTCACTTTCTTTTTTTGCTTCACTTGCTACATTCTTCTGTAAAGATGGTAGAATAGAACAGGTGAGGTGAAGTGTAATTTCTTACTTTTCATAATTGAGCAAAGAGTACTTAATTGACCAACATATGGGTTTCTTCATGTGAGATTGATATCTTCTGATTACTGAGATTTTCCAATATTAGTAACTATTATATTACATTCCCAATAACAAAGAGACTCTACTCAATAATTTCTAGTGATGCTGATTATAATAAATATATATATATATGTATAATCTTTTTTTTTTTTTTTTTTGTCTTTTTCATTTTTTATCGGTACCAGGGATCGAACTCACGACTGCCTGCTTGCAAGGCAGGCGCTTATGCCGCTGAGCTAAATCCCCAGCCCCTATATGTATAATCTTAAAAGCAAACTAAAACTAAAACTGTTTACAAACTTAGAATTCTAATGTGATAGGTATTACATTTACACCCCCCCCCTTACTTTCTTTAATCATCAGAAACTTTGTACTTTTCATCTGTTCATAGATTAGATGTAGTTGTCACCTGTGGACATCAAGTGTGGAAGATCCTTGGAATTATGCTTTCCACCATTTGATCTCAATTCTGAGTTAGTAGACAAGTGGTGAAGATTCACTTCCTATGACCTCACTCTGCCAATTTCAACGGTGATTCTTTCTCAATAAGTCATTATAATGTGAATCTGGGAACAGTATCAGTTTCTGGTGTCCACTCCCTGGAAAGCTTTCATTTTCATTGATTAAGCAGTAAGGCTATAGTTTTTTCTAATTTTTTATTGGTACATTTAGTATACAGTGATAACATTCATCATAGGAAAGCTGAGCCTATATGTGTACCTCCTGCTGCTCCTTTTCTTCCTGTCCCCTCCCCTCCCTGCAGTCCCTCTTCTCTTCTTGATTTACAAGTTACATTTCCATTGTTTCCTTCTATTCTTTCTCTCTTGCCACTCCCAACCCCAGTGCCTTGTCCTCCTTCTCATGTGACCACTGTTTTCCCTTTTCCCAAAACCTGTTAACATTTTGATCCTTATTTAAACTTTTGGCTTCTCACACCACAAAAACCATGGAATATTTACAGCCCAGTAAGGACACAGTCAGCACTGGGTTGGGTTAGAAAGCAACTGACATTTTCCAGTAGCTTACTTTTAATGTCTAACTATGGAATCTCAACATGTTATGTATTTATTAAAGATGTTAAACGCTGACAATACTAGAAAAACATATTTTAAAATTTTAATTTTAATTAATAAATTGATGCTATAATCATTAATATCAAGAAATTGTTAACATTTTTAATTATCAGTGAATTAATACAGTCAAAAATTTCAAATTGTTTCTTAAATACTTGTAATATTATATAATTCTCAATGAATACAGTCAAAAATTTTAAATTGCTTAAATACTTGTAATATTATATTTTATACAGTAACATTAAACTGCTAGTCAATGAAACTATTTTCTTAGAAGTATCAGATAATTGGAAATCTGCATAATGTTTCTTTTATTTTAAAATCTGCATATCAATTTTTCTTTAAAATTTTGTTTGCTGGAGAATTAATAAGTAAGAACATGAATGAGTAGAATAGTATTTATGACATAATAGATGCAAAATGACACACAAAAATAATTCTCAAACTCATAAATGTATAATTAAAAAGTAATCATAGTACCTAAAGTAACTGTTTTGCTGTTTACTTATTTACTTTTTATTTTAAATCAGTTTTATTGCTGTATTTTATATATACATGATATCCACATTCATCATGGAGGAACTTGTACCTGTAAATGATGTTTTCTTTTCTTTGTACTGAGAATCAAACTCACACTTTCCAGGCAGGAGCTGTTAAACATGATACATCTTGACTCCTCTTTATGTTTGTATTTTTCTCTCTTCCCTTTCACTCCTTTTCCCCTGCTTATTTACAAAAGCTTTGTTTCTATTTTTCCCTCCTTTTCTCTTTTTGTCCTCTTCCTCTCCTCCATTTCCCCATCCCCCTTCCTAATTTTCACTTCAATTTGAACATTTTATTCCTATTTCACACTTTCTATTATACATTTTGGCCCTTATTTATACTTTCAGTTTCTCACACCAGAGGAAAAAAATTACACATGTTTGCACAATTTATTTCATTTAAGAGTATCATCTCAAGGTGCGTTCACGGATAGAGTATCATCTCAAAGTGCGTTCACGGATATAGAAATGTTTCAAATATCAGTCACATCCATTGTATAAAAAACTACATGTAGTTTATTCATTTATAGGCTGATAGGAAGCTGGGGTATTTCCAAGAATTAGCTATTATGAACTGTGCTCCTATAAACATGGGTGTGCATATATTGCTGTGGTATGATGCTTTTAATTCTTTTGGTAAGCAACCAACAAAGCCTAGTTTTAGTTTTTTGAAGGATCTCTCTGCTGGTTTTCATAATTGTTGCACCAGTCTATACTTTCAACAGGAACGGAGATGGTTTCCTTTTCCACATAGCCCCACCAGAATTTGCTATTTGTTGATTTCTGATTAGCAGCCATTTTTTCTAGAGTAAGATGGAACATCAATGTTATTGTAATTTGCATCTCTTGAATGACCACAACTGTCAATTTGTTTTGGTATATTTATTTGCAATTTCTAATTCTTCATCTGAGCAGTTATGTATTCATTCCAAATGTCCATTTCTGGAATGCATCATTAAATTTGCCAGGTCTGGGGCTGGGGATTTAGCTCAGCGACATAAGGGCCTGCCTTGCAAGCAGGCAGTAGTGAGTTCGATCCCCGGTACCGATAAAAAGGAAAATTATTTTTTTAAAAAATTTGCCAGGTCTGAACTTTTTAAATTCTTTACGTATTCTAGCTATCTAGCTAGTGCTTTATCTGGAATATTTTTCCACTCTCTGGTTTCTTCACACTCTGTTGGTTTCTTTTGTTGTGCAAAGATTTTTAATAAGATTAGATCCCTTTTGTAAGTTCTTTGTGATACTTTCTCTACAACATTCATAATGTCTTTTCCATATCATCATGAGTTCTATCTATTCGATGTTCTATTCAGTCTTCTAGCAGATTTCATGTTTCTGTTTTAATAATTAGGGATTTGATCCAGATCAATTTTAGTTTAGTGTATCATGAAAATATGGGTCTAGTTTTAATCTGTCAAGTGGAAAGCTAGTTTTTCCAGTATAATTTATTAAGTAGGTGTATTTTTTACAATGAAAGTGTTTGGCTCCTTTGTCAAAGATAAGGTGGCTGACTGTGTTTGGAATTGTTTCTGTATATGCTAGTGTGTTCCATTGATTTATGGGTCTGTTATTTCCCCATTACCATACTGTTTTGTCACTGTAGCTTGATAGTATAATTGAAGTCAAGGATTGTGATGCCATCCTACCTTGCCTTTGTTTCCACGAATGGGTTTTGCTTATCACTTCAGCTTCCAAATGAATTTTAGCATTGTTTCCTCCAAATCTGTAATGTATGATATTGATATTTTGACCAAGACTGCATTAAATCTGTAAATCATTTTTACAGGATGGCCATTTTCATTGTATGTGTTCTTTCTTCCCAAGAACAAGGAAAATCTTTCCATTTTTTTCATATCATCTTCAGTCTCTTTTTTTTCTGAGTACTGTATGTTTCAATGTAAAGTATTTTACTTCTTTCCTTACATTGAAACTTAAATATTTAAATTTTTTGGATGCAATTTTGAAAGGTGTTATTTCCATAATTTTCCTCTCAGTGAGTATCCTATTCATATATAGGGATGTTTTTGATTTTTGCATGTTGACTTTCTTTGCAACTACAGTAGTGAATTTTTTATTAAATTTGGAATTATTTTGGTACTGTTTATGGGGTCTTCTATGTAGAGTATCATGTCAATCACAATACTCACAATTTAACTTCTTCTTTTCCTATCCTTATTCCTTTTAATTTTTTCTCTTGTCTAGTTGTTCCAGTTAATGCTTCCAGAACTATATTAAACAGGATTCCTGGCAGTGGACACCCTTGTCTTGTTCCTCATTTCACAGGAATTCTTTCAGTTCTTGACCATTCAGTATGCTGTTGGTTTGGCTGTTGGTTTCTCATAGATCTCATAAATGTTGTATCAGATAAAGATTATCTATACCAACTTTTTGTTGTTTTTCCCATGTTTGCATATTTGACTTGTCAAATGCTTTTTATGCATGTGTTGAGATGATCATGCCATTTTTGTCCTTAGCTGTGTTAATATTGTGTATTAAATTCATTAATATACTTATTTTCAACCATCCTGCATCCATTGGATGATCCTTGCTTGTTCTGTGTAATCTTGATGATTTGCTGTATTCTGTTTGCCAATATCTTATGAGGATTTTTACATCTATATTCATTTGGAAGATTTGCCCGTATCTCTGTTTCTTCATTAGGTCCTTTACTGGTTTTGGTTTCATGGTGATGCTTATTTCCAGGAATGAATTTGGGAGAGTAGATTCACTTTGAATTTCATTAAAGAGTTGCATGTCTCTGAAATGTTATTTAATTTGCATGTTTTTAAGTAGTTTTATTGGTTTCTTTTGCCAGTGATTGCCAATTTCATTGCACTATGATCAGACAATATGCATGGAATAACTTCAGTTCCTTTAAATTTACTCAAGCTTGTTTTATGAACCAATATATGTTCTCTTTTAGAGAAAGTTCTGAATGCATCTGAAAAAATATGTATTCTGATGTTGTGGGATACAACACTCTGCAGGTATCACTTAAATTCACTTTTTCAAAAATTTGATGCATTTTTGAGAGTTTGTTGATCTTTTTGGTCTAGTTTATATCTGACTATAGAGCATTGAGTCCCCCCATTACAATTGCATTAGTGCTTATCTGATTTTTCATGTATTTAATATTCATTTTTTATAGTTGAGTACACTGGCATTTGGGTTTAAATTGAGATGACTGCTGTAATTTTGGTGGGCTTTCCTTTGTAAGTGAATTGTTTCTTTATGTATGAACTTTTAATATTCCATTCCTGTGTTGAATTCCTGGAATCCTTACTGTTATACACCTTCGGGTAGATTATATATATATATATATATATATATATATATATATATATATATATATATATCTTGGGTAACTGGAGTTGTATGTGTCTCAGTTATCTGTTTGTAAAATTCTTTTTACATGCTCAACAAGTTTCTGCCATTACTTCTTTGGATACATTTTTATATTATTTGTGCTGTCTTCTGTTTTATCACTGACTCAGTCAATCTTAAGTTATTTTTCTTTGCATCATCTAGCAAATGTTGTATTGATATATTCACAGCCCTTTGCTATTTTTAAGAACCCTTTATTTTCATGACCATGATATAATCCTGTCTTCCAGATCTGATACTCTGTCCTGATAATGGTTCATTCTGCTACACATATTTCAATCCTGGATATCTGTTTGAATCTGTTTCATGGATTACATTTCTTTCTTATGTTGGGATTTTATGGCTTGCTTCATTTTCCTAAGCTCCTCTATTTTTTTCTTTCTCTTTTCTAGATTCACTAATCATGACCTTTATTATGGTCATCATCTCTGAAGTGAAACTGAGTTATTCACCAGGCACAGCAGTTTGCAGCATCCATTGTTCCATTCTGCTGGTGTGTTTCTCTTTGGAGCTCTCTGTAGTCACCAGTAGTCAATGTACCTCTACAGGTTTGAGCCACCCCTCCCACACTACAGCTCAGAGAGAAAGTGCCACTCCTCACTTCCCATGTCTGCACTTGGTCCCTCTCCTTTCTCTCTCTGCGGGCCCTAATTCTCACCTTAGATACTTGCTCAGTCCTGGGAAGCCACTTCTCTCTTCTTCCCCTTGCGCTCTTCTAGCATCTGGATTCCAAATATCAGAGAAGATGTGTCACCATCCTCCTGCCATCCCAGAAGGCCTCTTGCTTCTTTAATCCTATATTAAACTAAACTATAACACAATTCATAAACTACTTTCTTTGTTTTCAGAATAGTCAAATACTCACAGGTGCATTTATTTTAATATCTTATAGATTTGTGGATTTATCATCATTACTTTTGAAGCTTAAAGTTTGTAATATGTATATTAGTAATAAATGGTAGACTTTTTAAGTTCTTATCTATCAGCGGTGTGGTGGGGGTAATGCAAGAACAACTTTTATACAAAACATCAGAACATTTAGCACTCCTTTTAGTGGTTTATAACCCTGGTTTTAATGATCTTTGCAACACGCTGCAAACAAATTGATAGCACATTAACTTTAGTGTGGTAAGATAACTTCATTTGATAACAGACACAATGAGAACATACGTCATGGGAGACTTTCACTAAGTGAAATATAAATAATTTTGAAAAATAGTATTATTTTCACAGAAATGTAGGATGATTTTATAGTGGCAAACTTATTTAACTTATTTCTGGTTTTCTTAGCCATTTACATACCATATAATAAGGTACATTTAAGTGCTAGTGTAACTCATAATTTTCATGGAATCACATCATATATTTTTCATGCAATACAAGCAAATCTTTATTATCCAGTTTTTATTGATACCAATGCATTGCTTTTATAATACCACTTCTGTTCTAAATATATTTCTTTATAATAGTTAAAATGTGCTTTAAAATGTGGAATATCCATTTAGCTTTAATATTTTTTAATTGAAAGTATGTGAAATATAAAATAACAAAATGGAATATATCTTTGAAATTGTCCTTTTTCTTTCTTAACATAAAAAGCACTCAAATGAAAACTATTGATTATCTAAATAGCTTTAAGAACATATTAAAACACAAAAATCTAGAGGAATATATAAATAATGACAACTATTTTGCAAAGTTGTAAATTTGATGGCAAGTTTTAGATTTTATTGGGTAATTCTTTTTGAATGAATGGATAAAAGCATGCATATATTAAACAATTTAAGAACATTATTACAGAACTCTTTTGTATTATATATCTAATTCCTTAAAACTGTTGCAAATGTTTTCAAACATGCATTAGCACAATATGATTTAAAGTAACATAGGGCTATAAGTTTAAATATTTCTAAATTATTATATGTATGTCTAATTGTATAATTCTTATAAATAAAAACCAAAAACCAAACAAACACCTTTTGAGGAGAATACATCCAAGCTTCCTTCTTTCACTTTCTCTTCCTTTACTCGGCCTATTCTCTGTCTTATTTCTTCTCACCAGTCTGCCATCTCTTGTCTTTCACTGGAATGTGTGAAGCTTGTACTTTGTGTGTGAGCTTTCCACTAGTGCTCAGATATTCTCACTAGTCATACACCATGGATGGAACAGTTCTAGAGGTGAATCTACAGATCTCTCACTTCCACATAAAAACTTTCTTAGCCCTGCTATGCAAAATTAAGACTTGCTATTTCAACCACACATATTAAAGTGTCCGGTCTAGTTCTCCATATTATCTATTTTCCCTTTAAATATTGAAAATTTTACCATGATATTTTTTCATACCATTTATTTTGCTTTTATGCACAGTGATATTTGCTTGTTATTCACCTTTATTGCTTATCTTTTTGTCTGATCTGAACGTAAGTCTGTAGAAGAAGGTTTAATATGAAACAGAATAGCAGAAATATCAAATAAAGTATCTGTAACATGACACTCAGATAACTGTCAAGTGAATAACAATAAATCCAAGAGAAACATAAGTTACAGTTAAAGTTTATATTCAATAGTAAGTAATGAAATTGTCATTATAGACTAGGATTTTCTTATATTAAGGACCTGATGTGACTGAACTAAGCAGTATACCACATCAAACATCCTCACTAATACTGAATATATTTTCAGACTCAGATGAACATGCTTCCTGTGCATTCATTTTTAATGGCAGTAATATTATGAAAAATCTACATATTTGGAAAACTGTAGGTGCACAAGCCATCCATTTCAATGTATTTTGCGCTATCAGTTGAGCAACTAGATGTTTTCTTTCATCAAATAGAAGTTATCAAACACTTGAATCATGGATCAACAGATATTTTCTGTGGAAACAATTCCATAGTTTATTTGGAGATGTCCAATCTATTTCAATTCTATTTATGGCAGATATGAAGAAAAATCTTTTTGATATACATTTCAAAAATACCATTCCTATATTATAATATACTATAATATTCATATATTACTGTATTGATATGGTAGTGAAAAAAGAAATTTTTGAGCATAAGACTTAAAATAGGATGATGTAGTCAGAAATTTGTAAGCATTTTAATTGAATGAGTTCTGTTAGTATTTGCAATGGAAGATCAAGTGATTTATCTTTGTAGCAGATGCATCTTGAGTTTTTCAACATGAGAAGATGAGGAATGGATAGGCAGAGCTGATACAAATACAGTACTCTTGACAAATTTTTTCATTTACACTGCATGTATTTATATCTGAGAGGTTTTATGGGTGCCTTTTTGCCAAATATGAACATGCTAATTAGAATTAAACTGTAAAGAACATTTTTTGAAAGGTAAATTCAATACATTTTATGTAAAATAAATTCTAATAAAAATATAAAAGGTCTGCTTATAATTGAAAAAATAGTTACATGCCTGAAATTAACTGAATAAATTGATATCAAAATTAAGAAAACTGCTGATTTTAAAACTATCAGATGTAGAGCTATAAATACATATAGTTTATTATTTGCTTTACTGGGTGCTTCTCATGTGATTTAATGTATATTTAATTTGAAAAATTGACTTGATTAAGTGATATATTACAGTATTATGTTTATTTATTAACAGAAAATATGTTTACTATAAACTATTAGTTTCATTTCTAGGAATCAAATTGTTTTTTAAATTGCTTCTGTTTTGCTGTTTGTCATATCTGAAGCAATGTAATAAATTTTTCATACATTATTTTTAATACTTTAGCCAATATATTGCAAATGAAATAGAGCATATTTCTGTAATTCTTAAATTATATAAAGAGAATATATATACTTTTAAGCTTCCCATTCATTGCTTATATAAATCCATTTTACATATATAATAAAACATTCCATTTAAAATAATTTTCTGATTAAGCCTGATATTATGAAACATGAGTGAAAAACAAAGAAAATTTACAATGTTGTATTAAGTGAAAGATATAAAAATGCTGATAAAAATATGGAGAAAAATGAATTTTTATTTGATGATTTTAATTAGTATAGGTACTCAGGAAAATAGTAGAATGTTACCTAACAAAAAAAATTTTAATACTGGTACTACCATATGATCCACCATACTCATTCATGGGTACACATCCAATGGAAATGAAATCTTTAGAAACCTAAACTTTCATGCTTATTATAGCATTATTGATGAGTCAAAAAACACAGTCATATAGGCTGCCTATGAAACAGAGAAGAGATAAAGAAGTTGTGGTTAATATTGAAAGCAGAATTTTTCCACCACAGAAAGAATGCAATGCAGTCATTCACAGCAACGTGACAATTAGAGAAAATTAATTATCCTAAGTGAAATGTCAGTCAGAGTAAGACAATGTCTCATGTTCTTATTCATTTGTATAAGATAAAAATTCAGTGGAGTAGAAAATAAAGTGATAGTCATAAGGGACAAAAAGGTTAAGGGATGAGAACTACAGATAGATTAGATAATGCATGCCAAAATACAATTAAATATGAGCAACTAGTTCTGGTGTAGGATAACACACGGGATAACTTTAGGAGATAATTTATGCTTTACTTTTAAAAAACTGAATATGAGAGCCCAAAGTTTCCCAATACACATAAAATATAAATATGTTAGGAAATGACAATCCTTAGTGCCCTGAGTTTCATCATTACATATTTTACACATCAAATTATTTTATACATAAAAATAGTTATGCTTCAATGGATTTCATTTATATGTATAAGCTGTATGTACCAATACAATAAAAATGAAAAAATTTGAAAATTCAGAAAAATAAGATATAAAATTAATGTACATGGCAATAGGATTGCAAAAACAACTAATAAAAATGAACTCACTCCGTGAGTTAATGCCTGTAAACCAAGCAGTTGAGCAGGCTAAGACAGGCCTTTCATAGGTAACTCAGTGAGATTTTTATCTCAAAGTAAAAATGAATGCACAAAGCTAGGGTAGGGACATAGGTAACTGCAAATTCATTCTGACACACACAAACGTGTGCATGTGCACACACAAGCACAAACACCCTCCAAAGCATCAAGAATAAAGATACAAGACATAAGAAGCTAAAAAGAAACAATAGCACTACATTGCTCTTGAAAAGCAGTGCAAATAAGAAAACAGAGAAGTATCTTTATGTACTAAGAAATAAAGACAGTGAATGTTCCATTGTATTCAAAAACAGTGTTTTGTAAAAAATAGGTAAAATAAAAGCTTTTTGTGAAATAAAAAACTGAAAAATTAGTCAATGAAATGAATTTAAATGAAAGATTTGCTGCTCACTGTGAAATGGAGAAAAATGAAATGATTGGAATATCCAAGAAATATAAAACAATTCATAAAGAAATAAGAAGTATAATTAAATATCAGAGACTAAAACTAGAACAGAGAAGAAGAAATACTTGAAGTAACAATAAACAATTATTTTCAAAATCAATGTAAGAAAACAAACCATAAGTCTAATTAATTCAGAGTTGCAAAAAATAAATACCAAAAAAAGAATAGCAAAACATGTAATCAGGTCAATTTTAACTTCCTGGAGGGAGAGACACACACATACACACATGCACATCTCAAAAGAAATTAAACCAGATAAAAAACATTTCCACTAAGAAATAAAGAAAATACATCAAAATTTTTTACATTTAAGCATGCTAAAACATACATCAAAATTAGTAGTGCTAAAATAAAAAGATACATCAAAACAACACCCAGTATCCATCAAAGTTGTCTTTTGTCAGTAGCAGATCTGACTTCTAAATACATTAAATTTTTCATAATAAAGAAAACTTCTGGTGAATGAATGTAAAATATGAATTTATTTTTAACTTTTAATTGATCTAATAGATAATTATTTGAAATAAGAGCAAAAATGTATTTTGTGATATTAAATATGAAAAAGTCAAATCAATATATTGTAATGAATGAAAAACTATTATGTCTTCACTAGCAATGTAGCACTGTAGTACAAATTGGAAGAGGACTTAAGATTTCGGTCATAGACTTAATGTGCATTGTCCACACTAGGGCAAACATTAACACAAAATTTTAATAAAAATGTGTAAGGCTTGTACCCATATATTTGTCATATTAAAAGTTCCACTAAAATAAGGGAATCTAAAAGTACAGAAAATAAAAAGAAAATAAAAATCCTCAATAATAGAAAACAGACAGGGTAGCTTTTGTCTGCCTGGGTGTTGGTTTGTTTGAACAGTGTCACACTAAGTCATTCAGTTGCTCAGGCTGTGCCCTAGGTTGTGATCTCCTTGCTTAGCCTTCCAGTGTGTTGAGATTACAGGAAAACACCACCACAGTCAGGCAGATATAATAGATTTTACTCAGATAGGACCTATATTTGTAATCACTTGAAATATAATGTTCTAAACATACAAGTCAAAAACAGAGATTTTTAATTGGAGAAACATACCACCTAAAAGACAACTTAGATATCCAGACTCATGTAGATTAAAAATGAAGAGATAGTGATAATTGTTTCACTCAGACACTAAAGCAATCTACTCTGGCTATACTAATTTCACCTAAAGTAAATTTCAGGAGGAGAATAATTTTTAGATGTAAAAAGAGTCAAAAGATAACAATAAAAAGGATCAGTCTTTCAAGAAGACAGAGCAATCATGAGGTTATGTGCATCTCACAGAAACATGCCCAAGTATGAAGACAAAAAGCAATAAGACTGCCGGGAGAAATAAACAAATCTGAAGTTACAAGTGGAGGTGTCAACAGTTCTCATGCCATAATTGATAGACTCAGCAGGCAGAAAATCAATAAGAGTACAGTGACATCAAATCTTGCAATTAAATCTACTGGATCTAATTGACACTTGTAGACTGGCTTATCCAACAGCAGCAGACGACACATTTGTCTCAAGTTCGCATAGAACATTTCCTAAGGGGGGGAAAAACACTTCTGGACCACAAAATACACCTAAACTAATTTAAAAGAACAGAAATCTTATGAAGTGTCTTCTTGGAACACAATGATCTAAAACTAGAGATCAATAAAAGAAACATAACTGGAAAAATAAAAAATATTTGGATTAATCAGCATACTTTTCAGTAGACCAAGAGTAAGTGAAGTCTCCAGAGATAAAATTAGAGAACAAATTTAGTATATGGCAAATGTCTATTTTTATTAGTTTTATAATTATTCCATAAACCCAAAATTATTTTTAAAATAAAGGTATTAATTAGTTGACGATATTACTTGGTGGTAGAGCTATTGCTTAACATGCATGGGTAAAATCACCAGAACTACCAAAAAGTACAAAAAAAAATGTTTTTAAAAGTAAATCTAGTCAATACAACAATAAAGTTGTAATAATATAATAAAGAATATTTTAAAAGAAATAGAGGAAAAATAAAAGGACAAATACAAAAAACCAAAATAATAAAAAGTTACATTAATAGATAAATGAAAGCAACCTGAAAGTTATAAGAAAGAATTTTTTAGAGTAACACAGAAAAAGTAGGATTCAACTGTTTTTCCTGTCTCTCTCTTTTTTTACATTGCTATTCAAATCTATTAAGAATTCTCTTGTCTTAAAAAAAATGAAAGAGAGAGAGAGAAAAAGAAAAAAGAAAAACAAATAGGAAAAGAAAAGAAATGAAACCAAAAGAAAAACCAACCAAGCCTAGGATCTTGAAGTAGCTAATTAGGATTGTAACCACATAGTATCTGGTTGGTTCCTTTTTGATGAGTTGGTACAGGCTAGAGCTAAGTACAAAAGTTTATGAATGCTTTGAAAGAGTAACAAAGTGCAAAGAGGATGACTGCAGGAAGGTGCCCAGAGGAGACACCGAGCACTGACAGCTTCAAAGAGCCTCAGCCACCTGCACCTCCTGGAGACAGAGGTGTCCCGTGCCGAGGTGGGTCTGGGCCTAGCTGTGCAATGGGGCAGCTGAGTGGAGAGGTGCTTGTGTCCCCTGCAGCAGAGTTCCATAGTGTGTTTAGTGTTCTTCTGCAAACTGAAATGAGGAGTCGATTTTTCTGGCTGAAATTTATACTGAAGACTGGTCCCAGACCTTGTTAACCTGGGACAGTGGGGTCCTCACAGCTCCCACAGGCAGCCGGCTCAGAATCCGGCCCGGGGACTTCTCACGCTCCAGGGGACGGCTGGGAGATTTGTCCCTCTGCAGCTCTGTTCGCCCCTCACGGTAGCGGTGGGGTGTGCTTGGCTCCTGGGGGTGGCTGGGGTTTTCAGGTGGTGCTGGGCTGGAGGCCACATGCTTGGTGATGTGCTCATTGTACGTTGGGAGGCCTCGCTTGTTGGGGCTGCTGCGGGAGGTGGAGGGGACCTGGTGGTGCTCAGTGCCGGTCTCCTTCACAAGGTTTCCTTTGCAGCAAATAACCCTTAATTTATCCTGGTATGAGGAGGCCAGGTAAATCGCTCCCGAGGAAATTGCAGGGCCCAGGTAGCTTGGGTTTGGGATTTCCAAATAGGCTCGGGCAGGAGTCCCCAGTGAGCAACGTGCCTGGATCTCAATGACAAGTGAGTTGAAGTGGGTCCTGTCTCTCTTTATTCCCTCTGTATATGTAATTAAAATTAAGTTAAAACCATAAACATATCTAAATAACAATGGAGAAATAAAGCTAATACTAATCAATACCTAATAATACTGGCATATGAACATACAGCAACGCAGATTTGGAAAAAATAATGCTACTACAGATAAGGAAGGTTATTTTATAATTAAAAAGTTTTAATTTATAGATGGTACACGTAAACACAAAATAACTTTGCATCTGCTAACAAAGGTTCAAAACCAACAACAACATATGATAGTAATACAAGTGGAAAACATGGTGCCAGCCATACATTTCTTTCAACTGATAACAGAATAAATATACAATAATTTAGCTAGGAGTTAAAATTTTAAATAATATTATCAATTAATTTGACTAATTACAATTACATAAGTTTGATCAAAGTTAGAAGAAAACATTTTTAAGTTTACTCAAAAAGTTTGCAAGGGTAGATCATATTTTAGGTTGTGACACAATGCCCATAAATTATAAAGATATGTGAAACATGTAGATTGTCCTCTGATTAAAATCAAACAATAGTAGGAAGGAATATAAATCTGAGAACACAGGCTGGAATTTATTTCACTGTAGCATGCACCACATAGTGCCTTTAACCACGGATTCAATCCCCAGCATGGCATAGAGAAAAAAGGAAAGAAAGTAAAACACCCACATACACGGAAAGCAATTAACAAAATTACAGTAACCATGATCAAAGCAATGAGAAAAGTTAAAAATGCAATTAAAAATTAGTTATAACTGGGTAAAATGAAAATAAAATTACCCAAACAATTGTTGTCATGCATTTGAGAAAATACTCATAGAAAACTGAATAGCAATTAATGTTCTTTTAGGAAATCTCCTATCATAGATGTAAACCTACTGCAAAAGAAACTTGAAACAGAAAAATCTAAATATATGTACACAGTAAAGAAATATTATAAAATAGTACATTAAAAGGAAAAAAACCAACAAAATCAACAGCTATTTCCTTGTATTGTAGTGTGTAGTTGTTAGACCTCTATGCAGATTATTTTTTTTCAAAGGAGAAAACATAAATATGAGTAATACAAAGACAGTGTTATAGGTTGCATAAACATAGATATAAATGAGAATTGTACAGCCAAGTTCATAGGAATATAATGAGTCTTGGTTACTTTAGAGGTTGGATGGGAGAACCACTTGAGCCCAGTGTTGGAATCCATGTTGCACAAAATAGTGAGATACCAATTTGAGGGAAAAATTTAGCAAAAAGAAAAAAAATCACATAAGAGATTGTTATGGACAGGCTTATGTCATTTAATTTGGTAACTCGGGTAGTGTGGACAACTTGAAGAACAAAAGTAAATTCACTCAAGGAAACAATAGTATCCTTGTATACTATTATCAACAAACAATAGTATCCTTGTATACTTATATCAAAGACTTTGAAATTCCACTTTAAAGCTTTCCCACAAACTAAACTCCTTACCGGTGAACTTCTTTGAAAATTTAGTACATATTTAAGGAAAAAGTAATACAAATTATAAACAAACAGTCTCAGAAAATTTAAGAGAAGTCACTTCCTACGTCAAGGTCCTGAGTTCAATCTCCAGAACAAAAAAACAAACAAACAAAAAAACCCCAATGAATAAGCACTAATTACTCTGCTTTGGTGCTTTCTGCTTGCTTATCACATATAAGCCTCAAATTGCCAAGGATCAGGGCCTGATACTTTGGAAATGATCCCAATCAGTGCTAGATGATGTAAAAAAGATCTGTCTCAGAATCCTGGGTGTCACTTCAGTGTTTCTGTTTGTGATTGCACCTTAACTTACTGTGCCCATTATTTGAGATTCTTCTCAAAATCATTTACTTAACAAATGAGGAACATTTCATGATGAAAAGACAATGTTATTAATTATTATGAGAGTATTCTTATTTTCCAACCAACAAAAGATAAATTTTTCTAATGTCATGTAGATTTTTTTCCTTAAAATCAAATATTTATATCTTTTAGGCAAATTTTGTATCACATCTTATCTCAGAAAAAATGCTATAGATAGTATTTATTTCTTTTACTCCTTGCATAAATGTAAACTATTATGCACACATTGTAACATTCATATGTATTTTTGCCTAACTGAACATAACAAGTGTGATTTGCATTCCATATTTGTTTCCATATTTGTTTCTATTTTTACTCAAGCAAAATAAATTAATAGTTAAATTATCAAATAAACTGTTTTTCAGGATGATTAATGCTGCACTAAAAAGACTCAAAATACACATCTGAGTATGTTTCCCACTTTTCCATCCCTCAGAGAATCTTCAATTTATATTTTAGAATTAAACTTCCAACCAATTTGGCACAAATGGCAAATATGAGTAATGTTTTTTCTTTATCTATATCTTTTATATTATCATCTATATCTACTCTTTTAAGATAATTTATAATAAGCAACTCTTAACTATGCTGTTTTGCTTTTGCATAATGTTAGATGTGTTTTTCTAGTAATTCCCATCATCAAGTTGATAAATGGATCTATGCCTTAAAAGAAGTACAGTCATTGCTGTTGTACTGAGCACCAAACTTAAGAATGTTTGCTTCTCAAACTTGATGTCAGCAAATCCAAAAGAAATCTAAATTCCACATTACTAAATTGTAAGAGTCTACAGAAAAGCAATAGAATTGATACATCATATTCCAAAGGGAATAATGAATATATCATGTTAAGATAAGGAACTAAATACAATAGAACCATCATTCCAAAATAATAATGATCAAGCTGTGTTTGGCTCTGAATATAATTTTGCACTGTAAAAAGTTGAGAAAAAATAAAAATTGACGAACAAATATGCATATGTATACATTTATCTATGTATACCTTGGTGAGACAGTAACAGAAATATACACATGTGTATCTTGCTTTAAAATTTAGAGCAACATCTCCTAGTGGAAATTGGTGATGATGATGATGATAATGATTATACCCTTTGAGGATCCTATGGTCTTTTATCTGTCATCACTGACAATTTTTGTGACTTAATGTTATGTTATGGAATAGAATATGAAATCCTATGGAATATAGACTTTGGGCATCTAACATTGAATCTCATGTTTTCTACAGGGTGTCAGTGTAATCTAGAAATTGAAACAACAGAAAAAACTTACAAGTACTGCTATGATATTGACTTTGTGAGAAAATTTCTGAAAAAGTACTTTACACAGTTTGGTGTAATAAACACAAAAAGAAACTAATTGTTCAATAGCATTTTCCTCCTTGAGATTTCCTTTTACATAAACAATATATTACATTGAATCATTCTTGGTGGCAACTTTTTATATCCACACTATTAAATATTCTTTCCATTAGCACTGAAATTCTGGCATACTCAGCTCAAGCTTTTGTTTTATGATTAAAAATCTATCTTACTATCAGAAGTTACAGTCCTTAATTTTGGTATGCATTCTTTAGAAATTAAAGAATTATAAAAAGTCTCTTTTCTCCATACATCATAATGGATTGATAATGTTGGCACATAAATAAGCACACTGGAATACTTACTGTGGTTAAGAAAAGGTAGAGTTACGTTTCACAAATGATTTTGTGTTATATAATTGGAAAGTGGAATAATAGCCAGAACGAAGGAGAATGTAGTTATAATTGCAAGTAGTAGTTATGGACAATAATTACCTAGTGTGAAAGCTTTTCTTGTCTACATGCTAAAACAGCTTACAATTCCCTCTATTTTAATAAGTGTTTAATATTGGATTTTATATATATTTGGGATGAAAATTATAGTGAATTATTAATCACATTTGCTTTTGATTTCAAAACTGGAAAACCAAGTGGTTGTTGGGATGCAATATTTCATAAGGGCTTTCCTTCAGTCTTATTTTCTTGCTTTCTATTCTTTTAAACTCTTTCATTTTCTTTTAAAGAGATTAAGACAAAACAGGACATAAAACTTTTATGCTCCATCCAGCTAGAATGAAGTCTCTTTTCACGTATTGTTATATTATTTCAGATTTTAGTTATAGGAAAGAAATAATTTTGTCCTTTCACTTTCTGTCTGATATTTAGAATTGAAAAGTTTGGGGGGAGGGAAGCAAGGGAGGGAAAAATTCTGCGTTTTCCATCGATGTAGTTACTGGTAATATTATTTTTTGATTCTCAAAAAAGTCCTCGGTTTTAGTGTTTTCTGGTTGTGGTGGTAAAAATGCTCTTCAATGACTAGTTTCAAGCTATCTACATGATTCTGAATTCAGTTAGAAGGAGCAAAACAAAGTTAATCTTGTAAGTCACTGCAACCAAGTTTCAGTACAAGACTTTGTGTGTGTGTGTGTGTGTGTGTGTGTGTGTGTGTGTGTGTGTTTCAAATATTGAAGAGAGAACAGAGGGAAATGTACAATGACTACCATTGTTGTGTAGGCCATGAAAGACATAAATACTAAAATTAATAAGTAGGTAAGTGAGTCAAAAACTTCCAGAGTACTAGAATTACTTAGAAAAAGTAATATCATGGTATAACATAAATTAGTTTGGGGGCTCTGATGGAGGAAATATTCTTTGGCTATTTTATTGGTAAAGTCTATTTTGTGAAAGTGCTATTTGGTTTTAAACTTATGTGATATCAGGAATATGCCATATAAAATATTCAGCTCAGCAGTATTAAAATAGCCTCGAGGTGACTGAGAGATGGAGAAAAGAAGCAAGGAGGGATGCAAAGCATGAGTTGAGAAATAGGACAGATTTCATGCAGCCCACTTCATGTATGATTATCAGTAAAATTTTAGGCCACAAGTCCACACTGTAGTAAGTGTTTACACATACATCTAGTGTGACAGTTTTAGGGAAAGACTTTCAGAAAATTATGAGGGTTTCTGCATTTGGCATTGAGGGAAAAAATAACTTAGCATATGAGATTTTGTTCCCCCAAACTTTTAACATTATAAAGTTATATTAGGGCATTTTTGTTAGCTTTCTTTCAGCACCAAATGACAGCTTTCTGCCTGGCCCTCAGAGGAACATGGAGCATTCGAGGATAAGAAGGGAAGACATTAGAGCACAGGCAAAGAGATGACGATGCCACAGAAGAGATACAAGATGCACTTTTTTTTTTTTTTTTGTCTTTTTCCTTTTTATCGGTACTGGGGATCGAACTCACGACTGCCTGCTTGCAAGGCAGGCGCTTATGCCACTGAGCTAAATCAAAGAGTAGGTATCACAGCTATATTTTTATAAGAAACTTATAATTTAAAATGTTCTGAAGAAATCAGATTATGAGGTAAACATTAAAGCAAATTAATCAATTCACTGAGCTGACTGAATTTTTCTTCCCTGGACACTGAAAGGGAAATGCCTTTCTGAAGACTCAATCTAGGCCAAACATCAAAGAAAGTAAGAATTTATTTACAAATATTGAAAATGTATAAAATCTTCCAAAAAATAAAATATGGCTACTGGGGAATTGGTAAATTAGCTCAGGCTGTCTGCAGCAAAAGACAATGAAGTTTCCACTGAAGTACATGTTCCTGGTCTTCTACTCGTGCTCCATAAAAATGTCTACAGGTGAAAAGTAGACTATGTACTTATTAACAAGCAGATATGCTTTTCTTAATCTCTTGCACACTAAAACTTAAGAACTTCTAAAATAAGAGTAAAATTTATGACATAAATATCAAACATTTTCTCTATTGCTTTTACTTCCCTTGAAAAATCTTTGTATAATGCAGTATGAAAGATTAGACTGTCTGTAAAATGGGACTTTACAGTCAAGATATCCAATTAGGAGGGAGAGATCAAAATTAAACCACATAAAGGACGTATCGAGAAATGCTGTCTAACAAATGCTTGCTGATTGGCTCTGTATGAACTGTGCAAAGGAACAACACATGATGAAAGTCAGTC